GTTTACGATAACAATAACGGCATGTTTTCGTGAAAAGCTACGATTAAAAAGGTAACAGCCAACGAATCTAGTCTTCCATAGTAAAACAAGAAAAAAGGGGAAAGAGAAAGAGAAAATAAAAAAATCCCTAGAAACGTTTGTGAGAATTTTCGAGGTTCGAAGATTTAAGAGTCATGTTCGAAAACGAGAGGTCGATTAGAATTTTTTCTTATTTTCTTTTTTTTTCTTTTCTTCCTCATTTTTCATCACTTTCGATAATGACATTATTTTAATCGATCAAATTTTACTCGTTTGCGATTTTAATCATAAGTTCAACTTTTTTCTTCTTCTTCTTCTTCTTCTTCTTCTTATTATTATTATTATTATTAACGACGTGACCTTTTTTTAAAAAAAAAAAAAAAACGTCAATCCGATAAGAATCCAATTTTCATTCTCCCCTTTAACGTCGTCTTTTCGGATCAAAATAAGAATGGAAACGTCATAAATGATGGTCTCTGTATCAGATGGTCGAAAGATCAATAAAAAGGGTTGACGAATAATATCCAAAATTTCTATACGAATGAGATTTGCAATGCTAAAATTAAAAATAGTTCATTTATATGGCATTCAATTTTAACAAGTTGAACGTTTCCATTAAATTCGATCCTCCTCGTTTTATACATATATATATATATATCACTCTCGTATTTAATAAATTTATTTCTTTACGTGGATCAATAAAATTTAATGGAAAATAAATTTACAAATAAAATAACAAACCACCTTTGACCTATATATATAAAAAAAAAAAAAAACCATACAAAAATAGAGAAAAATCAGAGAAAAATTTATATATCAAACGATAACGATAACGAGTTCCGTATAAATAAGAAATAATAAAAGCAACGTTCATATTACAAATCAAATGATTGACAAATCATTGAAATACATTCTCTACTATATATATATATCTACTTATAGAATCGTAGATCGAATACGAGATGTCTGTCCGGAAAGTTGGCAAACGATTTGAAGATCTTTCGTAAGGAATAGAAACAAAAGTATGTTATATAATACGTTTGTGAAACTATTTGATATCGGATCGACCCATCGAGGAGTCCCATCACAATCTTCTTCGTTCTCAATGTGAAAATAAAATGATCGATCGGACCATCTTTAACAGTATAAAGGAAACGAAGAAGAAGAAGAAGTAGAAGTAGAAGAGAAAGAGAGATATCAAGAAGTAAGAGAGAAGTAAGAGAGAGAGAGAGAGAGAGAGAGGGAGAGAAACGTTGGTGAAAATTTTCGTTAGATGTCTGATTTTGTTGAACGAGGAAGACGACGAAGAACGACGTGGTGCTGCGCTGTTGCGATATCGTATCGGATCTCGTTCAATGCGAGAGCGGCCTCTGACGTCAGGATGAGGCTTCTCTAAAGTCGAGAACCAATACTGGATAGAAAAAAAAAACGAGAAAGAGAGAGAGAGAGAGAGAGAGAGAGAATATAGATCGAAGAGTAAGGAAGAAAAGTGGGATGAGGGTGGGGGTAGGTTGAAACTCGATGAGAGTCGAGGCAGACTCGAGTGTCGGTCCGGAAGAGGAGTCAACGACTCGCGAGATCGCGTGGTATCGATTGCAAATATTTAAAACACGAGGTCATAGGCGAGCGAGGTATACGAGGTGTATACGAAGTAAAGTTTCATTTACAGTCAGCTTTTTGACGAAACGAGTCAATACTCTCTCTTCTGGTAAGAGTAGTAGTAGTTGTTAAGAAAAAAAAAAACAAATCTTAACAATCAAGGACTTCATGTTGATAAGTGTAACAGGGTATTATAACCCGTTAGGTGACTCGAACAAAGTCTAATGTTACAAAACGTGTAATTCTATCTTCTTCAATTTTTTCTTTTCTTTTCCCCATTTAGACATCGATGTTTCCAAGATAAAAGATATCAGAGTCTTTGGAAAATGTTCAAGTTACGATCTTAATGGGGTTCGTATCGAAATAGATCGGTCAAATCGATGATCCCGTTAAGTGTATCGGTGTTTTTTCTTTCTTTTCTTTTTTTTTCTACCTCTGAATGAAATTGTTTTTGCAAGAAATTATGTACTAAGCATACTTGAATAAAGAACTTAACCCTTTGACTGCGGCACGCTCTCGAACAAATCCATTAATATGAAGGCGCGATTTTCGCACGTTTTTCGTATATATTGATGGATTTGTGAGAGCGGATAAATACGCCTTTCATATATATTGATGGACTTGCGAAAGCGTATATATACGCTTTTAGCAGTCAAAAGGTTAATATACCTTTTACTTGGCACTGTGAGCGAATTATCACGTGATAGTTTCGAAAACGATTGGCTTCAAACTGACTTTATCAAATTAAGTGTAACAAGTCAGATTGGTAATGATTTATTTTTTAAAGTGCGATCGTTGAAAGATCCTGTTTTGTTACCAATTATCATATAAAAATTGGCTCGAGTTAAGTCGTTTGAGTACTCAGAGTAAGTCAGTGATAAATGTGCAAACGGTGAACTATGCCAACCAACAAGTGTTTTTGGCACGAATCAGCTCGTTTTTTTTTTGTGTGTCGTCTAGGACATGAATTCTTGGCGATATTTCTCTGCTATGATTCGAGAACTATTGGTACCATATGTCACGCGAGTTTAAATTACTACGATATAAATATTTTGTTAACTGTATGTGTGTGTGTGTGTGTTAAAAGATTGAACGAGATATGAAAAGATATGAAAAATTTCTGTGTTTTATTTGATAAACTCGCAGATCGATTGGAAAGTAAAGACAGAAAATGAGATCAAGAATCTTCTGAAAGACAAAAGTATGTTCAGGTAGATGAATACAAACACTAGGATAACTATTATTTTTTGTTTAGCTTTGTTGCCATTCGAATTAACTGGAAATATTTAAAAGAGAATCGGGTAGAACGAATATATACTTAAATCCTAAGTATCTTTTACAGTCTGAATCTAAACGAACGAAAGAGAAGTCTTGGTATTGGTACAAAGCAACGTTCTCTCTCTTTTTTTTTTCTTCTTTTTACCTTTAGCATTATATCCTTCGAGTAGGTACACGTTGCTCGACGATAAAAGGAATTAAAACGAGAGTTCCCCTCCTTTCGAAAGCGTTCTCGTTTCCGATTGAGCCGAGTTAAATCAGTTGGAAATACTTATGTATGCCTTTTTTTCTTCCTCCTCCCACCCTCCTCCCTATTTCCGTTCTCTTCTTTATCTTTTATTTAAAGGACACAGAGAGAAATAAAATAGAAAAAAATGTACGATAAAGTGAAATATCGTTTTTGACCCCTCAACGACAGGTCATATTCATTTTTTTTATTTTATTTTATTTTATTTTATTTTATTTTTTTTTTGAACGAAAGAAACGACGTGGAACGAAGCGTGAGAACGAAAAAAAGAGAACAAACAGAGATGGACCCAGAGTTTTGTACAAAAAATTTTCTTTTTTTTTTTTTCTATACATCGACGAGTTATCGTCCACTGTATTATTTGCTTCCTATACCAGGTGTGGAACAATGTAGAGAGAAAGAGAGAGAACAAAAAAAGATAAATGTATTGAACGCACGGAATCGATATATCTATAACTGGGTCCGATGTTCTAATCCAATACTAGCCATGAAAATGAAGGGGTAATCGAATAAATAGATGGAGATTTTAATCGAGTTAAAGAAATTCGCAGCAACGTTAAAAGAAAAAAAAAAAGCACATCTTCGTACCAAATGGAAGAAAGAACTTTGGGTAAATAATTGAATTCCATTTCGTTTAACGTCAAAGACCATTACTGTGTGATATCAGATATCTATAATATATTTGATTTTACTCTCAAATCGAATAAATATAGTTAAGTTAAGCATAGAAAATCTTTAGAATCAAAATACGCAAACTATTGGAAAGTATTATCGTTTATGTGTGTATATATGTATGTATGTATGTATATATATATTATACATTGTTTTGTCGTACGTGTTTTCTTTACACACTTGAAGAAGATGGGATAGAAGTGGAATGAGAAAATACTCGATAATATCTTCAACGTGTTTGATATACCTAAAATGAGACAACTAAAACGCGTGAAATTTGATCCAAAGTGTATTCCATGTGGGTGATTCACAACGATGAAGGAGTCTCGAAACAATTTTAAAGAAGACTCTTAGTAAAGTCTGAAGTTTTAATCTATCCTTGAAGATGAACCATGGAAATTGATCAGCACCATTGACGGTTTCGCTTAATTTTAATTAAATCATTACTCTTACCTCTGATACGGCACTAGAGAGAGATTATATTACTTTCCTATCGGAAGAAGAATGTATTAACGATGAATTAAAACAGGTACGACACTGACACACACTATCATAGAGCAGCGTGCTTCTCGAGTCACTGCACCTTCTCACGTATATGCATATTCATATTTTAGGCCGTTCACCGCTCTTTCGTTGTCGACGTTTTCTAATTTTTGTTTGTTTGTTTATTTGTTTTCTTTCTCTCTCCTTTGTACCTTCACCTTTTTTTTCTCCCTTTTTTTTCTTTTCTTTTTTTTTTTTTTTATCTATAAGAGGTAGATCAAACAGAGACCATAAAGAGGAATCAGCTTAAAACATATACAATAATCGAACGTCGAAAGTCGAACGATTTAATAGTATAATTGACAAAATTCGTTTTGGTCGTTGATCATCATCATCATCATCATTATTATTATCATCATCATCATCATCATCATCATCATCAATCAGGCTTTATTTTTTTCTTCGTAAAGCCGATGACACGATCGTACGCACTTATACACATATATGCAAATAACGTTGATATAGATTATTAAAGATATTCGAGTTTACACTCGGAAACACGCATGAGATTTAAACCATTTGGTAAACGATGTGTATATATAGTATATATATAATATATATACATATATATATCATATTATAATTTGTATGCCTATATTATTTCATATATATATATATTCCTTTTCTTTTTATTATCTCTCTCTTTTTTATTTTACTTCTCACTTCACGTTAGGTCATCGAAGAATAGATAATGATAACACACGATAAAACATACAGGCGCACGCGCTCGCCCGCTTCTCTTCACATGCACGTAAAACCGTGTCGTCGCGAATTCGCGTGCGCCCAGAATGAAATTCAATTTAAATCCTCTCGCTTTCGGGTCGATATGTCACGTGATATATCCACTATCCTCCACTCTAGTATCCATCTTTTCATGAGAAAGAAAGATTTCTTTGCTTCTTCTTCTTCTTCTTTTGCTTCTTCTTCTTCTTCTTCTTTCTTTTTTGTCCACTTTAACGTATCTTCTTCTTTCTTCTTCTTCTTCTTCTTCTTCTTTTCCAGCTTTTTCGTGAATGCAATTTCGTGACTGAGTATGATCCACACGTTTAAAGATGAAACACGAGTTATGATGATAATAAGAAGAAGAAGAAAAATGGATAATAAAGTTGATAAACGTCGATGAGAGTCTGTTATCACGTTATAGAAGAAAATTAAAGAAATTTTGTCGAGTTCACTTTAATTTGATTATGCTTCTTCTTCTTCTTCTTTTTCTCGTTGCAACGATGTTTTCACACAGGTTGATCCTCCTCACTGGAAAAATTTAAATCGTCACCGGTGAGATCACGTTACCGGTGAAACAGAACACGTGAGTCGCGCACTAACTTTTTGTCATCTTCCCTCTATCTCTCTTTTTCTCTCTCTCTCTCTCTCTCTCTCTCCTACTTTTCCCGAGTCGTTTTTTTTACCAATTCACAAAAATTACATTTTTATCGTTTACAAGGCACATCACGTTTGCTAAATTTTGGAAAACTCGATCATTTGTCAAATCCAATTTCTTTCTGAGTTATTTGTGTGTGTGTGTGTGTTTTTTTATTTATTCCACGTACTATAGAAAATTTCGATTCGTGTTTACACGTTCTCCCTGGAGATTATCAAAGTTCAAGAGCGTACGAGTTCGAGGCTCGCCGTCGCGGTGCCAAGGACGATTAATCATTCGGACAATGGACACTTTCTCGACGACAGTCAAAGTACTATTCTCGGTCGATGCTTCATAATAAGATTTTGAACGTAATAAGTTTTCATCAAGAAAAGTAAGGAAAAATATAAGAGAGAGAGAGAGAGAGAGAGAGAGAGAGAGAGAGAGAGTGAGAGTGAGAAGAAGGAGAAAATTATGAAACCCTTGGGTGGTTGCACATACAAAGCTGATTTACTTAAACTGGGGGAAAATAAAAAGTAAGTAAAGTAGATAAATTAGAGAGAGAGAAAGAGAGAGAGAGAGAGAGAGATGAATTTTTTGGTCACGTTGGTTTCCCCACGAATTAAAACGAACGAACGTTAACTCGCACTAGTTGTCCAAAAAAATGGTACGAACGAGTTGTTTTCAAAGCAAAAATTGAAAGATTCTGACACACCACGTTAATTAACACGTTTAGATGAAACATTAACTAACATAACACGTTAAGATGAAAAAGAATAATCGTTATTCTTGCGAATAAGAAATCACGCTTAGAGAAAGGGTTCAGTTTACGAGAACCAGCAACCGGTTAGTGTAACCGGCTACGCGATAACCGGCCGCCGACCTTCCCGACATATTTTCCCTCGGCATTTCCACGTTTCCAGGAGGACAGAGAAGCACGCTACTACTACTCGATCGATTTCACCCTCCGTAGCTGGAAACGAACGTTCTCTTCGCGAGCGTAGAATTCCGACTGTTTCCATCACGTCGTAGATTCCGAAACATTCCGAGCGAGTAAAAGAGGGGGGGAGGGGAGGGGGAAGCGGCGGAGAACGTTGCCTAATTTTCGTTTCCTAATTTAGCGAGAAATTCCGATCGTATTCACGAACATTCATCGATTATCTTCAAACCCCCCTTGGTTCATTTCACACTACTTGCTTCTCGCGAACACTCGCGATAGTCCATTTATCTCATTGAAAAAGAAAATATAAAGAAACATTTTTATTTTGTAAAGTAACGATGATAATCAACGATGCCTATAAGGGATGATAAGAGTGTTGAACGAAACCACCGTGGGACTTTTATTTCCTTTTCTCTTCCATTGACGATTTTAATCGCGAAAAAACGCGCGGTTCTCGATGCATACGCGTGCTTCGTATACTTGAACGACGACAACGTCCTCCGGTATGACTACAGAAAACCGTGTTCGGCAGCACTGGTGCCCGTATATAGCGGTGTGACGCGAGCTTGCCACACGCACCCTCGTCGTACAAACACACACGACGTACACTAAAACCACACTCTCACATGCGCCTTAAATCGGCACGCTTCCGCCCTCTTTGCCCCTCTTCTCTTTACCCTTTCTTTCTATCCATTTATTCATCTATCTCTCTCTCTCTCTCTCTCTCTCTTTTTAACCTGTGGTTTTTGCGCGAGCGCGAGCGCGCAATTTTTACCGAGAGAACACCAACGACGACGAAACGTAGTAGTAGGCTCCTTGAAATATAAGAAAGGAAGAAGAAGAAGCAAAGAACTAGAAATAAAGTGAGAACCTCCCCCCCCCCCCTCGAAGAGCAGAAGGAGTAGGAACGAAGTAGGAACGAGAGAGGTAGGAGAGAAAAGGAGGATGAGGAAGAGGAAGCTCGGAGACGCACGCACTACTACGGCCAGCCGTGTAGGCCGCGTCAAGCACGGCTTTCTCTACTGCCGGCTGGCACAACGTGTACGTCGCTACTAGCCTACTCTCTCCCTCCTTCTCTCTCTCTCTCTCTCTCTCTCTCTCTCTCTCTCAATCGGACGACTCCCCTCAAGAGTTTCCACCCTTTTTTCTCTCCCTCTCTCTCACTCTCTCTCTCTTGCTCCCTTTTGTATTTCAACCCCTCTCTATTTTTCTATCCTTCTCTCTCGTTCCATTGGGCACGGGTACCTGGCCAAACCCACCCACTGCCCGATCAACCTTTCGAGAGCGCACCACCATCGTTCTCGGCTTTCTCTCTATGGCGCATGATCCAGGGCCGTATATCCGGTGCTTATACTCAACTTGGACTTCTAATATTTTTCATATTATTTATAACTTTCAATGTGATGATAAATTTGTATTATTATCTCTTTTTTTATCTAATAAAATGTGTAATATGATTTAAAAGAATATTCATATTAAACATGTTCGATTTGAAACGTATGTTTTTTTGTTATCAGTTTTAAAACGAATAGCAAGATATCATAAACGATAAATGAGAGATATAAGGAGATATTACGTTGGTGTAGGTAGTTCGTTGATAAATAAATAATTTATTCGATTCGCACGAGGGTTCATTGACATCAGCAAAATTTACGTCGCAACACGGACAGAGAAGTGTTGGGGTAAAGCGCATGACACAGTGCCGTACCGATCTTTCCTTTAGCCTCCTTTTATATCTATCTCTCTCTTTCTCTTTCTTTCCTTCAAACGCTATTACAGTTTGACGAGGAAAGCGCGAACGAAAAATGATAATACCCGAGTATGTACATTAGTTTGAACGAATAGTTTTGAAGGGAACTCGAGAGTCCGCGAACATTACATGTTTCGATGCCTGCCACTAATGGTAGACGGGTATTTACTACCTTAAAGTAGGAAGGGATGTTCTTTTCATGATAGTAAAATAAAAGAGACAATCGTTTCCTAACAACCTGTTCTACCTCGCGTGCTTGACAAACTTGAATATTTAAAAATTTAAAACACATATGTATTACATTATCCATTTATATCATTTATAATCCCTTGCTATATATATATATATATTCCTATTTGTAAATTTTAGTTGTCCATTAGCAAGAAAACAGAGTATTCCTTGTCCAAAAGTTATTAAATATAAATAAAAAAGAAAGTATATTTCTAAAAGTTTTTTTTTCCCCTCTGTAAAAAGAGTCTCTTGAGAAATATGTGTCTTTTTCCCTCCGATATAGGAAATCGCAAAAATGATATAACGCTTAATATCTTCTGTCACGTATAATCCATTCAATGATATTGGCAAGAGCGTAAACTGTGAATGAACGGAATCATAGTATCGCTTGGTCACCGTTGATGGCCGATTAGGTTCCACGTGATAAACCGACACACGACCATATTCCTACGTTCTCTCTCGAGGATAGACAGGTTCTTTCGAATAGAGAAGTATCATTTGTTGGGAAATAAACCCCAGAACTGGAGAATGAAAACGAAAACGGAATATATGAACGTGGAAGGTCGTTTGGAAAAGAGAACTGGTTGGACCCTATGTGTATCTGAGCGTATCAGAGGGAAAGTGTGGTAGTAGTAACTACCACATCGTATAACCCCAGCACCCTATATTGATTTTCCTGGAGGATGGTGTAGACGAAGAAACGAGAAAAGCAGAGAAAGAGAAAGAGAAAGAGAGAGAGAGAGAGAGAGACAGATAGTAGTGGAAGTGGGAAACGTTACTCGCTCTTAGCCACCGAAGGTAACCTTTGAGGTTGAGTTCAAGGAAGATGGCGGATCAAGCATTGCACACCGGTCGGTATAAATACTACAAACAGTGTAAGGATAAATTCTATGAAGGAATTTATAATAAAACGTCAAGGGGGGTAAAGTAAAGCCTTTAAATATTATAAAATGTTTTGAGTAACCGTACGGATAATATACAAGTGTATATAATAAATGCAATTTGCATAAATATCGATAATGCGATTTGAAAGTGCTATACTGCGATTACTTTCACATATCGTATTTCTATGTTACCGAAACTAAACGTTTTTCTAGCACGTGCTTCAACCTCGTCTATTACTATATACCTATATATATATATATGTATACCCTATATGCTCTACGAAACGGTTGACTTACGGGGTCTCGAGTTTCTTCATATGAGAACGTATTACGTTAATGTTATAATAATCTTTCTTTAAACGAATCATTTTGCTATAATAATTTTTTCTTTTTAGAGTAAAACAACCTACACATGATTAGAAAATAATTACATATTCGATGGGGAGGAGATCAACGATGATAATATTGGAAAGTGAGAGATACGGAAGACAACACAACGGTACCTTCTCTATCGCGTAAAATCGTGTTTCCATGGTATTGATGAAAAAACATACTAATCTATATGCTCGGAGAATTATCGGCATATGCAACTAGAAATATCTCTATTTGCTGAGATCTTTAAAAGTGGTTCCATACGGTTGTTCGAGCTGGCCTACTTTTTATGCCGCTCTCAATGTGTGTACATATGTGTCTACTCTTTTATGTCTGTCTCTCTTTATCAACTCTTCTTTATATATATATATATATCTATCTATCTATCTATCTATTTCCAAGGTGCGAATGTGTGAGCGCATGAACGAGTAATCTCAAAAGGGTGGTTGGGTGCGTTGCCTCTAACTATTTTGCTCTGATCAGATTTACATGGCAAAAAGAGAGAGATGCATGCGGGTTTATAAGAATTCCTTTCACAAATCCAAATATCCCTATCGAATATCCTATAGAATGTCCTATCGAATGTCCTATCCAATGTCCTATCAAATGTCCTATCATTCTTTTCTACCACAACCTTACGAATCCGTCAAAGAATATCTCATACTTTTGTATGTGTTTTCTTGTTTGTTAATCATATTTTCATGTATTATACAGTTTTAAATGGGTTGAATAATTGATACCAATGTACCTTAATACTAACTTATTTATTTGAAAGAGAAAGTAACGCTCAAATAAGTTTGGTTAAGAAGAGACAACACTATTTATCGTTTTCGATTTATTTTCGGTGTGACCCTCGAACGACCATCCGTCGATTACGCCAGGGATCGTAATCGGAAGCAATAGAACAACTGAGAAAGGGCTCATTTTTTTTCTTCTTCTTTTTCCCCATGAATCGGTACGAATAACGTTCGGGAAGAATAAAATACAAAGAAAATGTCGTACGAGCTTGATAGATCGTAACCAAAGAAAATAGAAGAAGAGATATAATAAAAATATATAGGCATCGTTCGATTAATGTTGAGAATATTTTACATTTGTACAGGACGAAAGGGAGCTTTATTTTTATTTTTTTATTTTTTTACTTGAAGGGATTGATATATATATATATAGTTTGTTCGATGTGATGATACATGATATTGATGAAAGAAAAATAAACAATGGACTGTAGGTTAATATTTTTCTCTTGTTGTTTTTCTTTGCTCGTATTTGTCGCGACACATCCAGCAACGTGCTCGAACATCCTGCATGGCGAATTGCACGATGCACGATGCACGATGCACAATGTGGAAAAGCACGAGACACGAAGGAGATGTTCGTTTAAGCGAGCAGGATGCGCGTTGCACATGCGTGCATGCACGGATCGTTACCGAAATTAGAATAACGACCCTTTCAACCACCCACTAACCTCCCCCTGAGCTTCTCCCTAACACTTTTTTTCTTATTAGTCTACAAAGAGTCTAAGAAATAAGTACTCTCTCGTCCGTTCTTACAAACTTTTTCTCTTTCTTTCTTCTCATCCTGGGAAGTAATAATCCTGAAGGATAAAGTAAAGTTACGGATAGGAAAGATCGTTGGAAGAAAATGTCTTTTTTTTCTTTTTTTTTTTTATCCGAGAGATTCGACGCGCGAATAATTCCCAACGTTATGATGAACAAGAAAGTTTATCTTCGATAATTCATTACTTGATAATCTGTGCTAAGAATGAGCAAATGTATATTTGAAATGTTAACTAATATTAGAAACGATAACTTGTCAATTTGTTAATATGGAAAATATAAAATTCTGTACGAGTCCGATTCTCATATTTTTATTCACATTTTGAGTAGGTACACATTGAAGTAACGGTACGCACTGGGGAAAACTTTCCACTCTGCTCGAGAAATAATAATACAAACCCGAAAAGTTGAAGTTTCTCTACTTCCATAGAAGATGCATTATCGCATTATAAAACTTTAAAGCCGATTTCAAATTCTTTCATGGGTAAAGATATTTCGGTTCGCATTATGAGAGAAACTATGAAATTAAACCTTACGAACAAATACCTTTTTTTCTGTTTTTTTTTTCTCACGTTTTCTTCCGATGTTATTATATTAAATCGACTTGGTTTCGATTATATTATCGTATTCAATTTCAATATTAGTTGAAAAGTAATTAAATTTGGTCTAAATAATTTTGAAATAATTTTATCTTCTTATAATTATTCTCTTTCTTTTTTTTTTTTTTACTTTAAATCCATTATTCGACTTTCATCTTTTCTCAACTTTCTCAATTATAACAAAATTTTTGTCTATTTACATTCTACTCTGTTCAACGCACAGACATACAAGTTGAGAGTCAATCAT